GTGGTAAAAAAAAAAAAAAGAAGTGATTGGAGCAAAAGAGAAAGGAGCAAAAGTCACGGTTCCGGCACGTTGATCGCTAGCCTCCAAGCGCTCCTATCCACCGCTAAATCCTTAGAGATATTCCAATCTTTAAAACTCATTAAATAAAATTGAATCTTATACCTTTAGTACCAGCACCCAACAGAAAGGCTCCCATACTGCACATAATCAAGGAGTAAGAAGTAGTTAGCATCGCAACTAATTTCATATTTGAAATTCATTGAATTGGGCCAATGCTGGAGCCAAATCACAGTATCAATGAACATGTATCAACAGATGGAATTATAATATGCATTTGCAAATATAGCAGTCATTATCAATTATTTTGTCAAAAAAATTGAGATAAACATGAGATAGCAGCCAAGTTAATGATTTCTGTAGCCACAGACAAGATAATAATAATCTTAACAACTTAAAATTGCTACATTTTAATTTAGTTTTCAAAACAATAGATTGCTCAAGAACTGCATAGTCCACTGAAAGGAGAAGAATTATAAGTTGTGTTTCGAACTATAGATAAACTGTATATGAATTGTAAGAGTCACTGAATCTCACCTAGCAGCTAGTCCAACACATACAGTTGAGATATCGGGCCTAATATGCCTCATGGTGTCAAAGATTGCATAACCTAAAAAGAAAGAGTAAACATAAGTTATCTGAAAAATCTTAAAACTAGATGTAATATTGAAGAAAAAGATATATTACCAGCTGTCACTGATCCACCAGGAGAGTTAATATACATGACTATATCCTGATCAATTACAACGCAGATATTGATCAGTGAAGTATCCACCTACATAATGATCTAAGTAGCACCTAAAATAGTGCTACTGATTTGGAATTAATATCTCTATCTTTCACTCCTCAGCATCGACCAATCACAAGATTTAAGAAGCAAAATGAAAGACAAAGAAGAATTTCAGCAACAAGGTAAAATAAAAACAAATGCATTCGAATTATGTAAGACAGATACTGAGAAGTGAAGTTAATATATAGCCAAGTAGCCAACAATGATGATGATGAAAGCATTGAGTTAATCAAACTGTGGTGGTTTAAACATAACTAAATCCTTCTCCATGGCAGCCTGTAACGTGCAAGCATGGAAATGTATGCAACCATAAAATTACAACCCTAAAGTGATCTTGCAGCTTAATTCATAGTTCAAAATGACTACAAAATAAAACAGAATACATTTGAAAAAAAAAAAAAAGAGAGGCAGGGAGACCTTTGTAGGATCTGCAGCATCAAGGCAGAGCAACTGAGCTACAATTGTGTTCGCCATGTCATCATTCACTTCCCCACCACACCGTATTATCCTCTACAATTAAATTGAGCTGCAAACTTTAGAATCAATGTACGCGGGCAAACTCATGCATTTCAGTTCAATCAAACATAGCCTCACATATTTTAAAAGCTGGCTGAGGACACTCGTAAAACGCTCTTGCACCATGGGTGATGGTCCTCGTGGCCCCCGTGCATTAACTGGAAAGTATGGCGACGATGGCATTCGCAAATCATCCCTATCAACAATAAAAACCAGCTATCAACATTCAGAATTTCTCTCTAACAGAAAGCTCCAATGAAAGAGAGAGCTCTAATGAAAGCAATCCAACTACAAAATACAAGCGGAAATTGTTACGGATCAAATTATAAGAAAAATTCGAAATTATGAAATTTTATTGAGCTTTTGAAAGAGGTATGACAAACTGAAGACGCCCAAACTATCATAGCCGGTTAGGTTTTCAGAGTACTATCATTTCACATGCTCCTAGAGTAGATTCACCAAATCACTAGCAATTACATTCGCGAGAAAGACAGATTGATGCGTGAAACAGCACGATAAAGGCACCCAATCTGAAATTAACCCTTGGAAAACCAGGCAACGACAAACAAACAAAACACTTACCTAATCGACCAAATGCCACTTCGCGAGCTCCTTTCCGGCGCAGAAAAATCCGGAGCGTGCACAGATCTCACGGAAGAACACTTGAAGTTCGATTTATTACATTTTCTCGGAATTTCATGCCGTGAACGGGGGGTTTGAAGTGGGAGAGAGAACTTGTTGGAGGTTGAAGAAGGCGAGGAGCTAGGGTTGGGGGAATAGAGAGAAAGTGGGGATGAGGCGAGATTAAGGGATGAGGAGACGCATGTATGCGCCATCGATGAGAGAGCCGGCGGCAGTACGGTGGTGTTGGGAGGCTTATCCCAACTGACGCCCGGGAGTGAACTGGAGATGACGGCGAGGGGTCACAGATTTTTTATTTTTATTTTTTTCTGCGGGCGGGGCAAAGGCCCGATGCAGTTTTTATAGTTTTTAAAAACATTTTTATTCTTCCTTTTTTTGTTAACTAGAAATTACCCGTGCGATGCACGGTAGGGAATATTTCTAAGCATTTTTTAAAATTAAATATTAAATTTAATGAACTTGTTATATTTGTGACAAAAATAAACATGTTGGACGCAAACAACAAAATTTATAAATTATTGAAAATTTCTTTGTATGCAACGTTTTTGGTTTGATTTGGGAGCGAGTCATCGTCACCACAAACTAAAATTTTCAAACCGCTTCGATTGGTGACATGGGATACAACAACGTATAACTGTCCATGGCTGAACACAGGCTTCTTAAGAAACAAACCAACATGAGACAACGATTGTCCCTGGCTCTTATTGATAGTCATGGCGTAAGATGCCATAATAGAAAACTGACGCCTCTGGAACTTGAAAGGAATTCGAACATCAGAAGGAGTAATAGTCATTCTATAAAGCAACACCTTCTCGCCTGCGTTATCCCCAGTTAGTATCTTACACTCGATAACAT